CGCATCCGTTGTTCCTGACGTGGGAACGGAAGCAGTCGGCTTTTCCTCAACCCTCGGTCCCCGTGTGAAGCCAGGTGGGTGTGGGGAGGTCTCCTGTGAGTCAGTGGACAGGATGTCCTCCTCTGGAGCTAGGAGCCAGCCTTCTCCTGAGCTCTGGGTGTCACCCTGTTTTAGATGCAGGCACGTGGGATTGTCCTAGCCAAGAGACTGGTTACTTGTTCCCTCAAGGAAGCTTAGAAAACTGTCAGCTGCACCTGAACCCTGGTAGTTCTTTACTCAGAACTGCTAAGTGTTGGTTGAAGGAAGAGGAAGCACACATTTGGCTTATGTGCTGATTTTTCCCTTCAGAACCCTGAACGAACTTAAGCAAAGACTTGCAGAGGTGTTGGCTGACAGGGATGTGCCCAGTGGTCCCAGCTGTGAGGCTACCTGCTGGCTGCGATTCAGGGTGACCCGAGGAGAAGTCGCGCTGACTGAGAACCCTCTCTTGGGTTTGGTTTGCAGCCAGTAGGGGATGAGTTCTTTAACCCCAGCTGCAAGTGACAGCTGTGTTTCCTCCTTACAGGGCCATCAGGCCATCACTACAAGCCCTGCACGTGGTGAGAAAGTGACATTTGCCTAGCCAGCATGTGACGGGCGGTGTCTCCACTTCCTGCAGGGGCTTCTGTTCCCTGACCAAGCCACAGAGCATGGACCAGCAAGAGGGCCCTCCTCCTGCTCCCACAGGTGCGTGGCCTCCACAGGGGTGTCCAGGAGCCCTGGGGCACTAGGGGCTCTCCCTGAACACTCTGTGCTTCTGGAATTACGAGGCTGCTCCTGACGGGGGAGACGAGGGTGAGAGTGTCTCGGGGAGAATGATGAGGTGCTTGCTGGGGCTCAGAGGGGATATGAACTTTGAGGGTCCCAGCTCTTAGGCCAGTGCACTTGGGGTGCACCAGTGAGCCTCCTGCACCAGGCCTGCCTGTCCTGGGCATCTCAGCTTCCTGCAAGGTGTTCCGTCCCCCACCCAAGCTGACTGATGTGGAAGGGAAAGGGCTTCCTGTTCAGAGGCCATGTCCACGTGCAGGCCCCAGTGACCAGGGCCAACGTTCCACCACTAGAACGCAGCCTCTCCAGGCACCTGGAACGGGTCCAGGGAGTCCTCTCCTGCTTCCTTTCTCTGGGGCAACTCAGGGCCAAGCATGGATCTCTTCTGTCCATCCACACCAGGTACAGCCTTCTTATCATCTCGCCAGAGCTGTCTGCCCAGATGCCCATGGCAGGGAAGGCTGGCCCCAGCCCCATGCTGGACCCTAACATTTCTGTAGCAGGCATCCCCAGGGCTTCCTGTTCTTTCGAAACCTGGGCTGTGGGGCAGGTGGGGCAAAGGTGTGCGGGCATTCTTCCACCCTGCGCTGCCCGCCACACAGACCTCTGGCCCTGGTTATGCTCATCTAGAAGCTCTGTAGGCAGAGCTGCCCCCAAGTGAGCAGAGCCCCAGAGACACCAGAGCCAACTGTGGTGTGGTGAACTGCCCAGAGGGTCCAGTGGGAGGAGAGGCCCCCAGAGAACTGTCAGGTGCCACTGTCTGCAGGAGCTCCTGCTGAGTGGGGGACTGACCCCTGAGGGTCATCTGGAGCTGGAGGACCCAGGAGGCATGGGATGTGGGAATGGGTGCCTCGAGGCCGGTTCTGCGGCTGCACTGGCCTCTGGCGGGTCTCACCTGTGTGGGCCTCAGCTGTGGGAGCCCTGGCCTTTCAGCCATGATGCCCAGGCTTGTACTTTTGTATGAGATATGAAGGAGACAGTTACAGTTTTGGGGGAGACTATAAACACAAGACAGCTTCAGGAAGGACAGACAGAGCAGCGCCTCTTCCAGCCTTACCACAGGGCTGAGCATGGCGGTGTCTGCAGCGTTCCCAGCGTCCAGGCTGGCAGCGGCCCACGAGCAGCTCAGACAGCCACCTGAGACGTGTAAAGAAGTCATCTCGGAAGATGCTTTGGGGTATTTCAGAAAGCAAAACTCAGTTCTTGATTTTAAAGTCACACTACCGGCAAGAGCTGTCTCTAATTAATACTAAAATTCTGCCACAGATGATGTTTCAGAAAAAGAAATCATACTATCGCTGTATTAACCTCAGTTCATGAAGACCCAGGGACTGAATGCCTCTTGATGTGGCCAGCTCAGGAGGAAGGGCTGGGCTCTCCTGAGAGCAGCCACCGCGCTCTCGCCCTGGTCACCCAGCCCTGGGCCCCAGGCCAGGACCTCCTCGGACGCCCTGGGCATGGCAGACCCAGTCTTGTGCGTAGCACCGTGAGGCCCAGCCTGCCTGAGTTTGGGTCAGAGTGCCTCGGGTGGAGGCAGCGAGGGCTACATGGAGACACTGGGGCCCTGGGCCTGCTCTCGGGTCCTTGGGGACAAGCAGAAGGCTTTGGCTGGGACCAGGGCTGAGCCTCAGCCAGTGCAGAGAGAGCATGGGCCACATGGGGCCAGACCCGGCCTGAGCAGCACCCATCAGTGTCCAGCTGGGGTGCGGCATCTTCAGCATGGGGTCCCTGCCTTTAGATTGTTGCTTTTCTATTTTTCCTTCTTCCCTCCCCTCCCCTCCCTCTCCCCCTCCCCCTTTCCCTCTTCCCTTCCCTCCTTCT